AGCAGAAAACGAGGGTGGTTGTATGCAGAGCTGGTCGAGGTTTGTTTTCCTTTGTTTTTTAAATTTTATTGTTTTGGTTTTTATCGACGTTTTCACATTTTTTCTCAGAAAACTCATTTTATTTATGACTGTTTACAGAAGTTTCACAGATGGTATGTCCCTGTTGTTCTTTTCCGTTATGTCGCATGCATCACATTGGACAATGAACATTCATTCAGCCCTCAGGTTATTTTAGTGGTGTTTTTATGTATTTTTTGATTATCTACACTTTTTTGATGTGTAGGGTACTTCGAATGTTTCTATCTAGCCAATACTAAACTCTTTACATCTATGCTCGCGGTCGCGTTGCGGCTATGCTGCGCTGCAATCGTGTCTTTTGCATTTAATCAGGACGGCCTGTATCGAAATAACATTGCGTAGAAGTACTTTCGCACGACAGAAATTTTTCCAATAGTCAAAAATTCCACTTATTTCTTCTACGTTCTTACGGTTGGCTCATCATTTTTTTTTTGAAAAATTCAGTTTTTCAGAATGTTATGCCGTAATACGATCGACTATTTGATGCTTCATCTACTGAAAAGGCTCTATTGGATAGTCTTCAGTGAAGTGAACCTTGTCACACTTACACAATTAATTCAAACTGCAATCTTTTGTTCGGATGGATCGTTGCCATCTGATCAGGAGAAAAGTCTTCGAGAAGAACTGGCAACGAGGCGTGCACTGGAATTCGCACAAGAGGAGGTGGACTTATCTTCGAACTCTTTCCCTTCTGCACTTGTCATGAGCTTATTTCTAATTTGACCTAGCTGTCTGGGAGGTGTTTGAGACGGTATCGATTTCAACAACAACTACTTATTCTTTACGGGCCTCAGGCACTGCTACCTCACCCTATTACGGGAAAGGAATTGTAGCTGCGAGGCCTCCGTAATTAGGAGTAGTTCAGATGAATCATTTTCCAAAATCGGCACTACGCTCAGCTCTACTCTCTCTCTAGGAATAAGTCGTGCATGTCGAGTTCACCTTAGAAGAAAGGTTGAGGAATTTTCTTTCCATCACTTATCAGCACCACTGAAAGTAATGAGCAAGAGAAAAAGTAGTTGTGCCAAACTGCTGTCGCGTGGTTGGAACACTCTGAGTCTGTTTCAGATGCCATCATGTGTGCTACGAGTACTGGACTCGAAAAGTTGGCGTGGTGGAGTAAAAAGACTGGTAAACACCCTCCAGTACCCTCGACTCAATAAACATTTGTCCTATTTGCTTATGGATCTGCTTATGACAAAGCTTTTCCCTGAAGAATTGTCGTAGAATATGTATTCCATATTTATTGATCCACTCGGTGTTGTGATAGTCTTGCCATAGTATAATAAAACAGTGATCTCATGGACAACAATGATCTTTTGTATGAAGTTCGGCATTTAGGACTACTAGGGCCTCACAGGTGGTGTAGGGCAAGTGGTGCTCTATCGTACGCGCATGGTCAAGGGTTCGGATCCCGAAACGATATCCGTCTAGGCCAACCAAGCCTTCCAGTCCATCTGGGGTCATTTAATTTTTCTAGACTCATCTGGAAGGGTAAAAGCCCTGATTTGTACATCGGCTGGCTACTGCAATTCATTGTATAGGCAGATACGCATTCAATACGCCATTCCGATCCTGACTGACAATGAAACTCGAATGCGTGAGAGCGTCTTCCAGACGGGTTTGATTAACACTTCAACACTTTATCCTTTTTTTTTAAAATCTGAGCCCATTGTTTATTTCTAGATATAATCATCGCAAACAGGCAGGTATGTATCAGTATTTACTTCCGATAGGATTTTCTCACCCCACAGTGAGTATCTTCATTTGCTGGCCTACACTGTCGTCAATCGGTTGCCTAGGATCTGATGAAGTCTTTGATTATCATCTTTTACTATCTTTTATTGCTTAATGTGCTGCTCTACTGTAGCGAAGTTGTACGCAGCTACAAGTACTGCCCCAAAGGACTTGAAAAGGTGAGTATTCCCTTACTTAGGAAACATCTCCATTGTAAGTTCAACTTCGCTACTCTGAACTGTTTAGGAAAGTATCCTTAGGGGGTTTTGCTTTGAATTAGATATTTATCCGGACGGTGATAATCCAGCTCACTGCTATCTGCAAAAAAATGAAAAAGTCGAAGCGACAATTAATGTGAGTGGTGGGAGCGGGTGATTAAGTTGTTCTGTAGGTTTTAAGATTGAATGGCTTGCTTTCAAGAATCGAAGTTCGGCGCACATCGAGGTCATTTGTGAAGTTCATCAAAGGGACCGAAGTAGCAGAAACGGTTCTATCCATCAACAACTGAGATGTTTTTGTGGTCAAGACAAGACAACCAAATGTAAGGATGAGATTAACGTGAGTAACCTCACCTTTTTAACTTCTAAACTTTGGTTTTGGTCAGGACTCGTACACATTAATAGTCAAAGAGACTCAGTTTTTTTCGTCAAAAATCAGGATTTTTCTGTAGATTATAGAAATTCCCCACCATGAGGGAATTATAATGACATTTGGGAAGTTGTTCTAGTTGTATACGATAGTAATGCTCTGCAACATCAAGTCTATACCAAAAACAAATGTTTTTATAGTTAGCATTGAATAGACAATTATGAGAGTTGCATCGTTTCAGTTGAAGGGTTTTTTTTTTGCAGAGCAAGGTCAGGGAAAATTTTAATTACACTGACTGTTGGATGAATGATATATTAAAAGTAGCGGAACTAGTGTTCACTCAGAAGGGACTGGCTACAGAAAAAATAGCAGAACCACAATCATCAACAACATCAATAATAATTACTACTACTATCGCCTATTCTTCTACCACTACTGCACCGTCGACAATCACCCCCACCACCAGCAACACCACCACCTCAACAACATCAACAACAAAAACGACAACTTCAACGACTAAGACGACTACCAATACGACAACTACAGCAAAAGTTCCCTTATCGACTTCCTTAACAAAAACTCCGCCGACTACCGTCAAAACCCCAATGGCTACTACTACGGCTTCCACGTCTATGGCAAGCACCATCTCGACAAAAAAATCATCGAAAAGTCCAAGTTTCACAGAAGCCGGCAAGCCGATAACCACTTTAAGCGAGAAATCTACTGGAAGCGTTTTCATCCCAACTACAGTACTCACGGAATCGGCCCAGGTAACAGAAACCACTACAACTACTGAGGAACCTGTTGAGACTACAACAACGGAATACTATGTCCCGGGAAGAGTTACTACTATTTGGATTACTCGTGAGGTAAGGGAGAACATTATTTCAAATCATGGCACTTTAGTTGAATGGGTCGACGCTTTAGAGAGAATATCGCCGCAAGTTGAAGGAGCTTGAGTAAGTTCTAT